CTACTACTACTACTACCACCACTCGTCCTCCCCACCAGCTCCTAGTCCTATGCTCCCTGCTCTCTTTTTCTGCAGCTGCCTCATACCCTTAGTGTCATTCATGTCACGCTTAGTAGTCTACCGTGGTACACATATGTAATGCGATCGTGGTTGTTATGACTTCGGTTGGACAGTGCTGGGCGCTTCTGCGAAATGCCTACCCGCACCTCCATACTGAGTGGCTACAGGAAAGCTCCGAATACTTTAGGGTGAAACATGAAAGGGATCCGATGACAGCTACCGGCAACACTCGACCAAACCGAATATTCTGAACAAAAAGCATAGAGGTCTTCCGCTCATGATAGTCCTGCTGCACCCAAGCCTGGACCAATGAAACCATAAACCCCACACGGATCTCACTCGGCCATTGCCCTAGCAACACTGTTAAACTCAAAACCTGAAGCTCCCAAAACCTCAACCGAAACCCCCAGCCCCGAGCCTTCAACCCTTCATTGTAACCTGTCTGAGCCTTCAACCCTGAATCAGAAACCTTCAACCACGACCCCTGAACTTAAGCACTCCAGCCACCTTGTACATTGTAGAAACCTATATACTACAGAAGCACTGATTATGATACATGGCTCCCTTCCAAACTCTCTGGTCCAGCATCCTAAAGGTTAGCCTTTGGGAACGTATGGGGATTAGAATGCCCCAAATTTCAAATAGCCTAAAGATTACCAAGGTTACCTATATACTCTAAACACCCTAAACCCTAAACCTATACGGCTGAACAAAAGACCGAGCTGCATGGCTCTGCATTGCACACCTTTACTCGGCGATCCCTTGTTTTGTCAAGCTCGGGCCGAGTATAGGCTGCAGGCTAGGGTTTAGGGTTTAGGGNNCTCTCGCAACTCGGACGATGCAGGCGAGGATGGTTCGGTTTGAAGAGTTGCAAACAGTTGATGGTTCAGGCTTAGGGTTTACATCCTGGGTTTGGGGTAGTTTCGGATTTTCCTGAAGTGCAGTGGCCTGTCTCGGCTCGCACAGGACCGCTGCCTCTAGGTTTAGGGTCTAGGTATGTCTAGGTTTACAGGTGAGGGAATTAGTTTGGGGGAGGCGTTGAGGGTCTCGCAAAAATTTCAATTCAAGATTTCACTGGACAGTTTCAGATCACGAGACCATTAATATTAGAACAATTATGAACCTGATCAGTACAGCTTATGTAGTGAGTTTTTTGCCTCGCAGGGTTTGAGGGTCTACCGTTCAACGGCTTTCTGCGATCGGACGGGACGCTCACGTTAACTCACACGCACGAGCAGTCTTACATACTACCGCTTTGCACATGCTAGCAGTTCCGATCGATAGATGGTCATCACTGCGACCGATTCATTCACTCTGTCCTCAACCAACAAGCCAACAAGGCGAAACATGGTCCTCGCTCCACTCAACCCTTCGTGATTTTACGGAAAACTTGGCAGGAAAAGTAGCGACATGTTATAAGAAATCCATGCAGGCAGTGATTCACTGCCTGTCTTTGCCAGTAGCTTCGTATTTCCACCCAATTGCCCACTTGGCGTGCATAAATATATATATATATATATACACATACACACACCCTCTCTCTCGCTATTTCTATCTCTGTCTCTCTCTAATGTAGGGGCCTAAATAAATAGAAAAGGGTTTTGGGGCCCATTACACTATATTTAAAATAAGGAACCCCCAAAATTGTATAGGTAATTATTTAGGCCCCTATTTTATCTCGCTCTCGCCCTGGCTCGCTCTTTCTTTCTCTCTCTCTCTCTCTCTCTCTCTCTCTCTCTCTCTCTCTCTAGCTCATGCACACATATACGGGGATTGGATAAGGCGAAAGCGACAACTTCTATGCCATGTCTGTCTGCACTGGAACGGGGTGGTAAAAGATGGAGCTCCAGATCTGAATCCTATCGACCCGAGGAAGAGAAGAAGGAGGCAAAACGAACGGCACGAAGTACGCAGCCTCTCTTGCTGCTGGCAGCATCTCAGTCTCCCTCTCGATGTTTAAGATCCCGAATTCCCATGGGTATGTAGGTAGGCGGCATGTACACATCTTCATGTATGTCTGTACATATATGCAGTATATACACACCGTCTACGTGCAAGAAACTCGGATTGGCACTCCTCTTCGCGTCCACATCTACGAGCACCAAGTTTCCACATTGGCTGATCTTGCCGGACCAAGCTTTCCAGGTGCCACTAGTCTGAGATCATCATACTTGCACCTGTAATGTCGGTGCGTGCCGTCGCCACAAACAGGGCTAAGCAGGGTAAGGGAGAAAGCCTACGCTAGAGATATACATTGTGAAAGCAGGTAGGCCCCTAAGTCCTACTAGCCCCATGCCCCAAGCCTTTGTCACGGATGCGCTGTAGCAAGTGTTCGACTGGTCAGCGGTCTTTCACCCTCTCAGCCGAACGAGCCTGAGGCAGGTCTGTTTGTGTAACATGCAGCTTCCTTTCTGCTACAAGACGGATGGCAGTGAAAATTATTTAATGAGAGTTCAGGCCAACATGCGAGACAAATGCAGAAATACAGTTGTTATGCTCATGCCAGTCTTCCAACTATAAATTCTACAAAGACTAGTTTGATGACCTAGCTGACCTAGCTTCTGCCAGGGGCACACACTTATAGCAAATACTACATATTCCTTCTCTACTATAACAGACCCTGAACCTACTTGGAGGATCATGGGCTTCGTAACTTAAAGGGCTCCTTAGCGGCTGGCTCTGAGGGATCTATATAAGGGTTCTACAAAGCCGGGGGGGGGTGGGGGGTTGGGTTGGGTTGCTGAAAGGATCATGGGACTGAATTGGGGTAACTATGGTTACGTTGGGCCCGAATTTAACTTACGATATTAGAGGCCTTAATAATTAATAACTATAGAGGCTCAAGTACGGTTGATGATAGAAATCCTGCATTACCTTAACGACCCTAAGCTATGGGAATTATGGTAGATATTCCTTATTTTGGGCGATGCAGTACTTAAATCATCAACCGTAGGGTGGTAGAGACGACTGCTGTATGTCACTCTCCACCGCATCGAAGGAATACCTCTGCCCATGGCTCTGAAACTCGAAACGGTGGGCAGTCTTCGCCATTTGCGGGCCGCAAGTGATCACTACTGCTCACTTCGCTTGATCACTCCAAGGCCTAACGGAAGATAAATCCGATGCTAAACCTAGAGGATCTAAAGCCCCAGCCCTTTTATCTAAACCCAACCCTGCTCCTCAAATTCTGCAATCTAAGACCTCGATTCATTCCTAAATCGCCTGTAAGCCCTAATCCATCAAACCTGTTTCCAAATTCCAAAACCGCATATTTACTGTAAGTCCGCATGCCTAAACCTTCAAAGCCCTAAGCCGTCGAGCCCATCAGGGTTGCTGTTTGCTTAACTAGGAGTCGGAAATCAGATCTAAGCTCAAGTTTGCGGGGCCTGTCCACGTACGTTTTTGTTAGAATGATTAAGGGGTGTTTGGAGTCTAAGCTGAAACTCACTCCTTCGTCATTTTTCCAGCCGTTTTCAATCGAACGTACAGGTGCAGCTGCGGAGGATGGTGTGACACGGCAGGCAAGCGCCTGGAAACAAGACCCGCAATGAGCCCGCCTATGGCGATGGCGCTCAAGTGTCATCCTCACGATCGTAGCCGCTACCGGGCACCTCACCAGCATTGATATCGAAGCCAGCAATACGGATGCTGCTTCTTCCGCTCTTTTCCCAGTCCGCCCACACCTGACAGACAGAGGACCGAGCCACCGTTTTGCGTCTGAATGCCATAAAACATATGTCCCAAGCCAGTCTAAACCAAAGTCCCCGAGACTTCCGCGCCGGATCTTCAACTGGGCCGGACATGACCCAAAATGAAAACCATAAACTTCATAGCCTAAACCCTACGTGGAGGATCATGGGACTTAGTAAATACAGTTAAGTATAAGTCTAGCTAATTTAATCATAGCCCTAATTGCTAGGTTTCATGGTCCCGACAGCAACGGGGGGAGACCAAGATCCCCCACCTCACGGATCTCGCCATCAGCCGATGTGCTTCCAGCATAAGGGGTATCAAGCTTTCCCAGAAAGTCCTGGGTGGCAGGGCTTCAGGACTTTAGGGCTTAGGGCTTCAGGGATTTAAAGGTTTAGGGTTTATGACATAACCTTGAAACTGATACTAGCCTTTACTAGACCTCAACCAAAAGGCCTTGGCAGAGAGCCGTGGAATGACTTTCCGACCGCCTTCAAGACCTCGGAGTTTAGGTCTTCGGGTTTGCTTGGGGCTGGGAGTTTTGGGAGTCGGGCTTGCAGGTTGCGGGCTTCGAGTTTGGTTGGGGGTCTTGGGTTTGGGGTGGCAGAGGCTAGAGTTGAGGGGTTTAGGGTTTAGGGCTTAGGGTTGAGAGTGTTAGTCTGTGCACTTGCGCTGCGCTTCCAAAAAATGCAGGCGACGGCAGGTCTGGACAGCTGATGAGATCGGGCCTGCCTACAACCGCCTTTCAAGCTGTTCCATGCACACGGGAGCCTAGGGCCTATGAGCACCTAAGGACCTTCTAGAACCAAGCAGGGTTCAGGTGTCTGTGATATCTACGGTGCAGTGAGTTTCGAATTTTACCGGGGTCTCGCGCCGCAGGTACAGGCTACTAAGGGTAAGGTTTCGGGTATACTATACTATAACTATATGATAAGGAACCTCAAAATGCTATTCTAACTATTATGGCCGCTATATCTACTCACAACTCGCAGCCAGCCCTGGACCCCATAACTCGAACCTGATCTGCGCCAAGGAGCCCAGCAGGCAGATGGTAAAGTTCAGAACTTCATCTCCCTCTTTCAGCGGGACATCTACAGGATGCGGGATCACCCCAAAGAGTTGGCAGGGCGGTTCGGTCTCGATCTCAGCGTCGCTTATCACCGTCTCCTGGGCGGTTCTTGGAGGCACTTCACAAGCCCAATTTTTAATCGGGCCTTGTGCTTTTCTGCTGCTTCTTAAGGTCATACCATATACTCACATAGAAAAACCCTTGTTCAAGAAAGGTTGAGTATCGAGGGAATACTTCTGCCCGTTGATCTCAAACTCGAAGCGGTGGGTAGGCTTCGCCATGGCCGAGCTTCTCTTCGAAATGTCGGCCGCTAGTGTTCACCAATGTAGGAGCCTTACTAATTAGAATAGGGTTTTGGGGCCCATTAAACTAAAAACTACAATAAGGAACCCCCAAAATAGTATTGGCAATTATTGAGGCACCTATATTACTTTGCTAGACCACTCCAATGCTGGCCCTTCCTGCAGGCTTGCAAGCAAGAACGCCCCGTAGTGAGCCTCCCAATGCTGGCCCTAAACCCTCAAACCTAATGCCAACTTCCAAAACCGCAGACTTCATGTCCGAGTCGAGGCCATGAGGATTGCTCTTTGTGCTCTGGGCGTCTGTCTACATATCGGGGTTTCTGAAAATAGGGGACCCTAATATAGTACCCTAAATAATAGGATCCTTAATATACGGACCCCAAAATAAGGTACCCCTAATTTTCGGAAACTCCCATATAGTCATCAAAATATGGAGGATCCGAGTGTTTAGGGGCCTTATCAGGGTGCCCCCCCACATCTCTGAAACGCACTGATCCGTCTCCTTTTCCCCTGCTACTCGAAGGTGCAGGTGCAGCTTCGGAGGATGGTGTGACACGGCTTGCAACGCCTGAAACCAGGGCCCGCAATGAGCCCGCCTATGGCGATGGCTCTCAAATCTCTAAGACTCTTCCGGTAGATTTGGGTCGGCCTCACCATCGTAGCCGCTACCTGGCACCTCACGAGCATTGATATCGAAGCCAGCAATACGGATGCTGCTTCTTCCGCTCTTTTCCCAGTCCGCCCACACCTGACAGACAGAGGACCGAGCCACGGTCTGCGTCTGAATGCCCTAAAACATTTGTCCCAGACCAGTCTAAACCAAAGTGCCCGAGGCTTCCGCGCCGGATCTTCAACTGGGTCGGACCTCGAACCCTAAACTTCAGACCCTAAATCCTACGTGGAGGGTCATGGGACCTAGTAAGCAAAGTTACATGTAACTACCGTAGTTGGGCCTATACCTGATAATTTATACACCACTACAAGTATAGATAGGCATAAACCCGAAACAACGAAGATCCCCCACCTCACGGTCCTCACCATCAGCCGATGCGGCATCAAGCTTTCCCAGAAAGTCCTTGGTGGCTCGAAACAGTTTGGGGCTTTTTAGGGTTTCTCTGGCTTCGTGGGTTTATTCTAAGCCAAGCTACGCCTAAGGTTTGAGTTTCAACTTCTGCAACCCTGGAGCTTCCAGCCCAAATGACACCTACCTAAAGTCTCCATTGTAGTTCCTTTTTGGGGATACCTTATAAAATCCTTAATATATATTTGGTTTAACCAAAAAAGGAACCACAATGGAGACTATAGGTAGGGCCTAGCTGACTTAAGGCTACTAATTACACAAAGGCTTTGGGGTGCACTGAACTATCAAAAGATGTATGATTACATGGGGACTACTAAAGGGGTACAATAGCTTATGTGATTCCGGCCTTCATTTCAAGAGCTTGAAGCTGGACCTTGAAGTTACCAAACATCCTGGCTAAAGTTCAGCAGTTCCTGTTCGAGCAGTCTCTAGTCGAGCTCACTACTGTCGTATCGGAAATCCCCCGACCCACCCTTTGGACCCCATAATGAAACCCAGGTTACTACTACTTTCTGCTGAAAACCAACAGAAATCCGAAACCCACAAACCGGAACCCTAAATCCTTAGCAGGCCCAAAACCCCCAAAACAATACCCAAGTCCCAAAACCCTAGGCCCCCCGTCGCCCCAAACGCCTGAACCCTAAGCACAACACACAAATCGGGCCCTAAGACTTAGGCCCCAAACCCTAAGCCCCAAAACCCTAGACCACGAACTCGCAAAAACCGACGAAGAAATCACGAAACAAATCAAGAACGAACTTTCGAACGTACTGCCAAGAAATCGGTAACCGCGAACGACAAGAAGAACCCGCAGAAAACTGCGAAATCGAGAAAACCGACGACGAAATCGCAAAAAGACACGAAGAACCCTCCAAAATTAACAAAGTTCGCTGTTGTGCGCAAAAAAAGCACTAAATTACGAAACAAACTACTGATCCATTCAACTTTAAACACATAGTCAGGAAAGAGAGAAGCTTGGGGTTTAGAGTTTAGACTGCATTGAACCGTCTCGCAGCAGAAGCTGGGACAATATAAACCCTCAACCCTGAAACCCGTCAAAAGCCGCGACTATGCGAAGAGCATCTGGCACTTTCAACCCAGACGCCTGAACCCACTCGAAGCCCCTTCAAGCCAAAACCGCAGAACCCCTGTAAAGCCTAAAACCGAGCAGCCCCAAAGCGGAACGCTTAAAGGAACCCTTGAAAGGACCCTTAAAGGCCAAAGGCCAGAGAGCCCTGGAGTTCTTGGGGGCCTTTCTATCCATGCTAAACCTCACTCGAAGGTTCATTTGACTTAGTAAGTACCTATAGTCTATAAGGTACCCCCAAAAAGGAACTACAATGGAGACTATAGGTAAGGGTTCTAAGTACCCAACATGGGCTCGTGCTGATAAATGATTCTGGGTATAGTTAATCGATAACCCTAGTTACTGAGTCCCTGGATCGCGTAAGCAACCACGAGGCCTTGGCAGAGAGCCGTGGAATGACTTTCCGACCGCCTTCAAGACCTCGGATTTTAGGTCTTCGGTTTTGCTTGGGGCTGGGAGGTTGGGAGTCGGGCTTGCAGGTTGGGGGCTTGGAGTTTGGTTGGGGGTCTTGGCTTCGAGGTGGCAGCGGCCAGAATTTAGAGTTGAGAGTCTTAGGGCTCGGGATCGAGGATTCGCGTGTGCGCACGTGCGCTGCGGTTGGAGTCCATGAGCAGCTCTCCACACTCGGGGTTCGGGTGTCTGTGACATTTACCGTACGGCTACTTCCGACTTCTACCAGAGTCTCGTAATGCGCCCTGGACAGGTACAGGTTCGAGGTTGCAAGGACCACGCCGTTTGAGTCGAGGCGGTGGCCATGAGGAGGTACCGCCACTAAGCATGGGAATCGAACGCCTCAAAACTCGAACCATATCTGCGCCAAGGAGCCCAGCAGGCAGATTGTAAAGTTCAGAACTTCATCTCCCTCTTTCAGCGGGACATCTACAGGATGCGGGATCACCCCAAAGAGTTGGCAGGGCGGTTCGGTCTCGATCTCAACGTCGCTTATCACAGTCTCCTGGGTGGTTCTTGGAGGCACTTCACACGCCAAATTTTATTCGGGCCTTGCGCTTTTCTGCTGCTTCTTAAGATCATACTATATACTCACATAGAAAGCGCTTGTTCAAGAAAGGTTTAGTATCGAGGGAATACTTCTGCCCGTTGATCTCAAACTCGAAGCGGTGCGTGGGTGCTCGGGTATCAGAGCCAGTCGCCACGGTGGCAGGGCGTCTGCAACCGTTGCCCATGCGCAGGAATGGCTTCTGACCAGTCTCGGCCGGAGCCGAGATCCTGACCCCTCGGTATTATTATAGCAATCTATAGTGTATTTTAGTATACTATAAGATGTGTATCCTAGGATACTATAATAGAGTTTTCAGTATGTTATAGCACATTAAAGTAGATTCTAGGCTACTTCAGGGTAGCTTGAAGCCACACAACTTCGCGGAACATCCCACGACCACGAGATCCCAGCTTAGAACAGGATGGGCGGGCGAGTTTGCTATGCCAGCACTACAGAGCTCCATTCGTGTCACAGGCAATAGCCACACATGGAACACCAGTACTGAGAGCAATGCGTGCCGGCGCCCTCTTCTCTGTCTCTCTGACTCTCTCTCTCTCTCTCTCTTCAGTAGCTGGCGGTTACTCACGACAGTACGATAATGGGAGAGCCGCAGCATGAGCACCTGCAGCGTCCAGGCAGCTCTGCGACGTACGTCTCACTTAGGTACCTTGACCCCCCAAACCCTCGTTGCGAGGCTACAATATCCATCCGTAGATCATCGTAGATCCCTGGCAGGAGATGTTGCGCCGTGAAGAGCAACGTTTGGAGCTCCATAGCCAAAACCCCAACCGCTATCGACAACACCCAGCTTCTACGTGAACCCCTAGACACCGCACACTGTCGAAGTGCGAGAAAGGATTATTAGCCCACACTGCTACGATAGAGACTGCAAGTTTACATGCGCATGCACACTGACGCACCTGGGCTGTACTGTATACTCTTTACCATTTACTTTTCACACACAACATTCATGTATACACTGATTTGCCTAAAAAAACTTCGTTGCTGAACCACAAAAAATGTACTCTCGGCAGACACCTGGTAGTCCGCACTATGAGGCCGAGCTTGCCTTCGAAGGTCGGACATGAGAGGGAACCGTCCACGGGTCGGCCGTCCTTGGCGAGCCTCTGCAGCATAGAGGCTGACTTGAGTGCTGTTTAGGATTGTTGTAGTTTTTGGGGGGTATGTCAAGGTTCCTGGTTTGGGGAACTACCAGACCGAGAAATTGTTGCAGCATTGCACTCTTTAGAATTCTACTCTGGTATTCAAGCAACGTACGCAAAGCTGGTCTAAGCCCTTGCCCTCTTTCTTCGCGCTTAATGTGCTGCCACTGCCTGGGTCTTTCGGATCGTCAACAGCTTCGGTTGAGAACCACGACAGCCGTTAAATAACTTGGAATCGGGTCTGGAAAAAACAGTCCGTGCATGGATCTTCAGGCCGGCCGAAATCCTATCTGACCTATCTTCCACCCAAACTTCTAAACCACACTTAAACCCTAGAACTATATACAGCTTGACCTCCAGCCATCTCAGCACCACACCTCTCGACTGACAGATCCGGTCGTGCCAATTCCGACACATTTGTGCTGGCACTCGTCAGTAGCTGATCCATGTACGAATCATTTGCCTTCTGGCAATTTCTCGTCAGCCTCTTCCTGTATCTCTCCTCGCAGATCCGAAGCAAGGTTCTTCGGGACCTCCTGGGGCGGTGTTGCTTTTGCCATGCTGGGTGGTCCTGCCACTCCTGCCTTTTGCTTGGGCAACCTAAAGCAGGTTTCTGCCCGAACCTCTGGCGGCAGATCCACCTCAAGGCTCTCTGGCATTTGTTGGGGTGGTGCAGGTGCTGGCTTTGCACGATTAGGCACATTTCTCTTGCGATCTACGCTCGTGCCTGGGTCTGGCAGAACAGAGGAGAAACTCGGCACCACCTCCGGATCACTTTGGAGATCTCGGATCGGCTGCCGATCTTCGGATGTCATGAAAGCCAGATCGAAGTGAACGTAGCAGCCCTGCGTGAGACCTCGCGCGCTGATCAGCAAGGAGATCGCTGCTGTCCAATATGCTACCACCTCCTGACCCATGTAGGAGAAGGTGTAGACTTGAAGAAGAAACGACAAAGTAGCTTCTCCGGTTTTCTCACTCTGCACCAGAGACACAAAATAGTCCGTCCGCAAGTTGGATTTCAATGACAGGCGTGTCTCCCGAATGAAGGACAGGAGGCCCCGGAAGAACACCTGACGTCCGTCGGTTTAGGGTTGAGGGTTTAGGGGTTTAGGGGTTTAGGGGTTCAGGGGTTTAGGGGTTTAGGGGTTTAGGGTTTAGGGTTTAGGGTACTACGGGGGCCCGAATAATTAGAACCGAGTTCTGGGGGACATGACAGGGACGATAAGAGAATGCTACCATCGTTTCAGACCCCTTTGATACGCATCCAGAATCCAGAATGTGTCAAGAAGGAAGGGATCAGAGCTGGTGGGACATCCATGCCAACATTCGTTCATAGCTTGGACACACATACGACATCACTTCTTGCCGACACGCGGGGTATAGTGTTTCCGCCCTTGGGCATCTTCTATCGTTCCGCACTTCTGGCTTTAGGCTGACGTGGGCTTGGCAGCCTCTGAAAAGCTGGTAGGAACGGCCGGAGGCTCCGAGAAGCACCGGAATGTGAAGGGAAGCTGTAGGATGTGACCTGGAGAGAAGGACAGAAAACTCATTGCGGAGTCCTTTCGCAAGAGTTTCGGGGGTGTGGGGCGTTTCCGCACAGTACACGGTCCCGAATGTGCTGGGGTCACAGGGCTAGCTAGTGCGTCTTGTGGGCAAGACGTGTGTTGGCCTGTCTTAGTGTGACTTCGGCCCATTTTCGCTTTTCCCACCCTCCACAAGCCTCGAAAATGGGAGGGGATGGGGGGGGGGGAGACTTTGGGCGACTAGACCTGGCGAGTGTCATGGTCCAGGCGGACGAGTGTGCCTCCCTAGTTGTCGTGCTTTTGGATGTCTAGATTTTGTGCTCTGGACTACCGACCACCATTCAGCAAAACATGTCAACGAATGTCTCGGTGGGCAGGGCTGGACTTTCGCTTATTCAAGTAGATCTCAGTGGCCCGGGCGAGCGGATGATACCTGATCTGCTCCTATGCCTTAGCCCCATACTTGAAGGGTCATAGTGGTTGTACAAGTAAGGTAGCTATCGTCTGCGATAATCCCAATTCAGGTGCTCAAAACCACTGACCTCCATAAAACTTTGCTCATGGCTACCGTGGACCTTTAAGTGCTGATAGCTCGGAGGTACAAGCACTCTTGGAAGGTCATCTTCCTTCTCTTCTTCTCTCTCTCTCTC